TCGAGTTCGCCGAGGTCGAGCCCGACACCAGTTCTCAGATAATTGAGATAAGTCCAAACTGCATCTGAGGCTGAGGTTGACCCTCGCCGAGGTTGGCCATAATTCCAACACTATGACCGAGCTCCAGGCCTACTACCGTACTACAAGGTTAAAAGATCAAAGAAACCATCACTACCTCACACTATGAGCTGAGGTTACCTCCCTGTTAGCTAAACACGTTACACCCTAGCTTGAGCTCTAGAACCGAGCACGAGACGTCGAATTGAGATTGTGGACTTAGACGATTATGCACTTGGATTTCACAAACACTCAAGATTACGTCACCAACATGGCAGCTATCCAGTGGTGATGTCACCTAGGCGATTACACAAAGAAGATTCTAGACTTTACACGTGTAGCTTATCCACGCATTATAGTACACAAAGGACAAATTCTGATACAACAGTACCAATAAATCCAGTTGTATTGATTATTCTCTCACCAATTAACTTTACATGTGTCACTAAATAAGTGAATTAGTTATTTTACCCAAGTATTTCCTTTTTACACTATAAATATCACCTTCCAACTTTTGAAAAGAGATCACATTCTAAGCTCTCAAGCATAACTATTACGTACTTTGCCAAATTTCTTACTTGATCTATACGTAGCATCTTGTCTACCCTCGGGTCGGAAAAGCCATCATTGGGTGCTGTTGTTGAGAACCCACATTTAAATCAAGTCTATATCCTCTCCACCAAACATCGAAAATGGTGAAAAGCGATGCGAAACAGGCGTGCAGTGACCCCAACTGCTAATTTGGAGCGCGCGCCTTCCTTGGAGACCACCACAACCTCTAGCATTAAGGAGTTGCTAGGGGCAATTCCCAACAAGTTTTGACTCAAAAGCTGAGAAATTTATATCTTTGAAGGAACGTCGTGCACAATTATAAAGGTATTAATTTTACTCTTTTGTATAAATATATTTGTCTATTCTTCTTGATTTTTTGCCTACTTTTATGATAATGAACTTTTTACAATTATTTTATTATGTAATTCCAGCCCCCCATGATAAGTTTTCTGATCCACCATTGGGTTCAAGGGTTGATTACTTCGTTTCCTAGCAAAACTTTTATTAGTTTTGTTTTACTTTTGTCTTTTTTAAACTCTAACTAATTTAAAATGATCATATAATTGTATTCAAATTATGTCTTATTTTTGGAAAGAAAACAACTTAATTATTATTAATAAGCATAATAAAAAACATAACAATCAAAGCCGAATCATTATAATCATAGTGTTCAATGATACACTAGGGTGAGACAAAGAACAAAAAATCCTATAAAGGTGCTCATCTTTGCTAAGCCTGCATCCATGTAGACTTGTACAGTAGTGTGACTACTCCTGCGACTTAAAATGGATCCAGTTTGACCAGCCACCGAAAAGAACTACTACGGTATTAAATTTGTTGGTTTTGTCAACCACCACAAGGAGCCAAGTGCAGAAATTGTTCCGATTTCACCAATCACCGGAAAGAAAGCAATCTATGCAATCTCATCTTTCTAGATCGGCGGTGGTTCAGGAGGGAGGCGATCAGTCTTAAAATTTGGCGTAGAAGAAATCTAGATTCATAATTGATGAAGTAGCCAATATAAACTTTTACTAGCACACAACAATACCCCACCGATGATGACGAGTAATATACATCTGGCAAGCAGTGACACTCTTCCATAGAAAATAACATCTCTAGACAACACTAGGTATCTCACCTAGTAAGATGGGGTGCCACAAAGGAGAGGTCCTGAGTCCAACTCCAAGGAATGACTTGGGATGGGACCTCACTCTCTTTTCATCAGAGTGAGATCAGAACTCGATTTACATCCTCCCAAATAACTGTCTGGTCAATTTTGGGGGCCCTCAAGTATGGGGTGTCATTTGTCACGCCCCAGATCGCATCTAAGCACGTGTACAACCGCCGTATGATCAAGTGACGTCACTCGCAAGTCAACCTCACTTAATCATACAAGTGTGTCTGAACATAGTCCATACCACACTCAGTAAGTAAACATACATATATAACAACATCACATTTAAACCAATGAATAGTGGAAGTATTCAACTGTAAGTCATGGGCCACATCTGGCCAAAACATAGGATGGTAGGCCCAAAATAGTTTATAGTAATTCAAATATCCATGAGCAAGTGTTTGTAGTTTAAAGAAAGTATGGAAGCACAAACCACGCCTTCCTTGAAATGACTTCACCCGATTGAAAGGTGCAGGTAGCAAGCTCCAGCTTCAACCTGAAAATGGCGGGCCCTCCCCTAAAGGGGTGAGTACGCAAATACCGAACGAGAAGCAAACTAAATGTAGAAAAACTAACGTTTCAAGTATAAGACACAAACATATGATGATACATATACTTATATTCTTCCTCCAAGTCTCAAAATACATATCAGTATATATACTTGGAAAATACCTGATCCGTAGACCATTGTTTATCTGGGAAATATTTGTAGTCAAGGTCCTTGATTTAAAATCCCAACCCACCCATCACCTATGAGTGTATAGGACTCCTCCTGGTCCAATCAAGTATTATAATGACACCACCTGGACCTGCATTACTAAACCGTAATCTATGAGTTTTGAGAATAGTTCAGTCCCTTGCTACTCCACCAATTATATTCCGAGTTTTGAGGACAATCCAGTCCCTAGGTACTCCACCAATTATATATCGATTTTTTAGGACAGTCTAGTCCCTGAGTACTTCACCAATTATATATAAGCATGGCCAGGGCGGATACTGAAGGTCCTGAACCCGCCCATGACCTTACTGAGTGGACCTGCCCCGCCCCGTGACTTTATTGGGTGGACCCGCCCCGTGACCCGCACGGGTTCAAAATTGTAGACCCATTACCCACCCCACCCCGCCGTAACTTATTAGCTAGTATATTAGTGATTGAATATATAAAATGCTATATGCAAAAAAGACATTGAGAATTTTCTGTTCATCTCATTCGAATTTTAATATTAATATATTATAAGACCAAAGAATTTATTATTTATTTATACACACACATATATTTATAAGTACATTTCTAGTATAATTGTTTTTTAAAAGTATGTATACTTATATATTGAGCAGGTCGGGTCGGGTCGGTGCAACACAGGTCAATACTATTACCCGGACCTGCCCCATTGTGTTTGCTGGGCGGGGCGGACCCTCCCCATTTAGAAGGAGGCAAGGGGCAGACCCGCCCCAAATGTGTCGGGCCAGGTCTGGTCCTTATTGGCCCGTTTTTTTGACATGCCTAATTATCTACCACATATCATACATGGATAGTCTATATCATAACCATTTATCAAGACTAAACCAAGCCTTATAGCCTAAGCATAACCATCCATGCATAACCAACATGTATCAAGCCTTACAAAACATCACATATGTTTTTATAATATTTTGGCCATTCAAAGCATCACATATGTTTTTATAATATTTTCATATCATTTTCATGCATACCTTTATAGCTCATTTCATATAAGACTGGTCACCTTGGCTAATCACATGCTTAAACTCTTTTAAACATCATTATGAACACATATAATATTTACTTAGGTAATCTCATATTTAAGCTTTAATACGTTCTACCCTTCTCGGTTGAACTCCGGCGAGACTCCGGGAAACTTTGTTGAACTCCGGCGATAACTCCGACGACTCTTTTAACTCCGTGAAAGCACTGAGAACACCTTAGACAAGTTCCTAACAAGGTTTCATTATCACAAAGCCCATATCAACACAAATAACCTCTAAAAGGTTATTTTCTGCAAACCGGTCACTTTGACTTCTAATTCCGTTCTTGGACTTAGAACTACCTTCCAACCCCTCATTCTACACTCCTAAACATGTAGAACAATCCTAGGGTCCTTCGTATGATATATAAGTCATATGACAATCAAATGATGGAAGAAAAGTTACTAAAGAGTTTCTCACCTTAGTTTTCAAGGTTTACCTCCATTTTCTCTATTTTTCATCCTTCCTTGGACCCCTCTTAGTTTGAGCTCTCTTCAGCAATGGAGGTGGTGAATTTTGCAGAGCCTACTCTCTTTCCTTGTCTGCTTGGCCGAAATGATAGGGGGAGGGGAGGTGAGAAGGTGGTTTTGTCTCAATTACATGAGGATTGAGGGAGGGAGGTCCACCCAAGGTCATCCTCATACCAACCATCACCCTCACCTATTTTACACCATTCTCGGACTATTTTGATTATATTTTATTCTATCGGGTCAACTAATATACACATATCTTGTTCCCAATCACTATTGGCCTTTAGAATGAATATACATTACCTAACTTTAATTTAAAAGTCCCCAAAATTTATTACAGGCTGTTATCTGATAAATTATTAATACCGATATGATAATTGGGCCTCGTTTGACAGACTGCTCAACTTTATGCCTTTTCTATGGCTCAATAAGAATATCTACCACCATGTATATACGGAGTATTATCTATACTAAGATGAATATAATATGTATACATAGTCTTACATTATGTAAGACTGTGTATTAATTTTACATGCTAAAAGTTGAAGGGAGCATTTCCATCATTTGCGATAGAGTCAAAGTTTACCTATTTTTGACTTGGGAATATGATGGAATAAAGCAAAATGGCTCTCCAAACTGTTTGCGTTTCTTCTTTGTTATGAAACATCGATCAGTCCATGTAATTTTCGACGTGATTTTTACCATGGGTCATCCGGAAACAGTCTCCGTATGCTTTAATACAGGGGTAAGACTGCATACATCCGACTCCCTTTATCCCACCGTAGGCGCGACACGGGTAATCAAACAAATGATGATTATTGATAAATGACTAAAAGATAAGGGGAGTGAACCCATATTATTTATTTAAAATATGAATTTTTTCTTTAAAATATTGCAAATATAATAGTAGAGTGGGCGGCTCTACAAATAAAAGAGGCGAGTAGAACGTTGCATGGGAGACACTTGTCAGTGCCATAAGAACTGCAGCACACACAGCTCCGTACACTAACCGTCTAACTGTATCGATAATCCATCCATCCCTCTTCTAATACTCATCATTTCGATCTCAAACACCCCCTTCTATAAATCCTAATAATAATAATAACTGAATACAGAGCTAGACCTTAATTACCAGTCGCCATTAATGGAGATGAAGCACCTTTCTTCCATCGCCGCCGACGTCCTACGCCAATGCGCCCAGTAAATATCTCTTTCACTTCCCTCTATCATTTCATACGTAATGCTCGTTCCTAGCTAATCTTAAGGAATTAAGGATCATGCATTATAAATCATATGCAAGAAGAATTTGCATCTCCCATGGATAGATTTTAGATTTTGACTCAAACAGAAAGATAATCATGATTGATTCATTGATCATTGTTAATGAATTAGAGACTTCATTAAGGTTTCCTTATATATACTTGTAAAATCTGTTTTTCATTCTTTGGAAAAAGTAGTTCTTTTTTATTTAGTGAATAAAATTGGGGTTTGATTTTGAAAATGAACTCGTAACTCATAAAACATACATTGTGGAGATAAGTTAATTAAGCTCCCTCTATTCCTAAATTAGCTTATTCGTGTTTTCAACTTTCATGCCAACCAATGGAATGATTAAAAACATTTAAAAAGCTTTCAATTTCTTTCCTAGTATGTTTCAAAAGTTTTCAAGTGGGAAAGAAAAAACTTGTGATTATACTTTGGTAATACAAAAGTGACCTATATACAGACTACCTAATATGTCTTACAAATTAGATCGAAAGAGATTAAGTATCTTATGACTCAAGAGTAATTTAAACTACTTTCATGCTAGTATCTGATGACTTTCATGCAATATAGGGTATGTTTCCTTCAAGGGAACCGAAAGGGAGGGTGGTGAAGGGAGGGTTGTGCATGTGGGAGTATATTTTGTTAACTTATTTAGAGCATCTCTAATGCTAATACGTCAACAATGCTAATACGTCAACGATGCATACGTGGCATGAGAGATAACCAATCAAAAAACAATAAATAAAATATCTCTCTCTTTATTTGAAAGATCTTATATCATTTTGGTAAGTTTTTCTTCACAATGTCAAGCACAATGTCTAGATGTAGACATTGTGGTTGACATTGCAGAGAAAAACTTACAAAAAACACACAAGACCGTGGAAAGATGGAGAGAGAAATGTCATAAAATCAATTTTTGTGTCTATCTCTCTCATGCGACATGTGCATCGTGTACATTGTAGCATTGGAGATGCTCTTAGTTTAGTCGGAGGTGGTGGGGGGAGGGTAGGAAAATGGAGTGAAATAGGGGTAAAACGATACCATAATTATTGGTAATATTGCATTTTATAACCTTAACTCATAAATGAAATACGGAGTATTAATTATTTGTTAAAATAGACTTTACACAGAATTTTTTGGTACCAATAGTTAAGGTACCGTTTATTCCTTTCACTGGAAACATAGGTACATCTTTTGGGTACTTACCCAATCTCCCATAGAAAGGATGACACACATGAATGTACCCCTAGATGTACTCCCTCTTAAACGTTCCAAATTGGATAGAGTATAAAGAAATGGAATTAAGGAGAGGGAAGGACTAACTAACTACCTCCCCTCCATTTTTTTTTAACCAAAGGAGGGTGGGTAATTTTCCTTCCCATTCCCTCCAAAAATTCTAACCAAACATACCCTAAATGTTTATCATTTCTAAAGAATAAACATAGAAAATAAAAAAGGGAGATGTAGAAAATGGCAACAACGGCTATGGTGATGAAATGCATTTCTTATCTTATACGGAGTACTTATATACAGAAGCATTTCTTATCTTATACGGAGTACTTATATACACCTGCGGAAGGATCATTGTCGAAACCTGAAAAAAAAAAAACAGAAGCAGTAGAACAAAAATATTAATCTAATTGATCTGATTTATGCTTGGAAATAAACCACTCTAACTTGGGAACAATTTTCAAAGTTCTATATTGTTGACATTTAGCACTTTATGTGTTTTGATATATTAGGACGCTAGGGAAATCTGTGGAGGACATAGTGATTGAATTTGAGGTGGGATGGGAGGCATCTGAGAAGGGATACTCAAAGAAGTTGCTGGAGTTCGCTTGCTCCAAGGCCCTGGCTAAGATGTTCAGCCTAAGTACACATGATGCTATTCTTGATAGTTCGTCCTTTAGCCGCTTCACTTTTGATATGATGCTTGCTTGGAATATGCCCAGCTCAGCAGATGAAGAATCATATAATGTATATGTTGTTTATTTTCAATTTCAATGCAATATTACTGCTTATTGTGTTTAGGAAATTTCACATCATCAGTGATGTACTACTATGTGTATTTTTAACAAAATGAGACAATCCAAGAGTTGGACTTTTCTTTAACTGTCTGGTAATCCACATAGTATGTAATATGCACACTTTCTTCTTTCAACAGGAGTGTGCGGGAAAAGAAAAGGAAGACAAACAAGTGGCTATAATAAACACCAATGATCAAGGACAAGATGACATCCCTTTGTTTTACTCAGATATTATGCCACTCCTTGTAAGGATATACTATCTGTTTAATACGGAGTACTATGTAATAAATTACTACTTTATTGATATAACTCTGAACTTACAATTTCATAAGTTCTAGAAATATTATGAAGCTTCTATCGAAAAATAGTGAACCTAAACGTGTAGGAATTGGACATCTAATCCTTAAACCTATGAGTTATATATATGAAAGTTATAACTATAATACTGGCAGTGCCTGCTGCCTCGGAGTAAGATTTATATCCTTTAACACTCGCAGTGCCTAGTGCCTAGTATCAGGGTCATAGGTAGAGGGGCTCTACTCGTGTCCGGACGACCCCCTTTTTCATGTACTAATGTTGTATTAGTAATATTTTATTTAAATGAATCCTTTTTCCGGCTTACACCAAATTGGGGTTCTGGCTACGCCAATACGACAATACCTACTACCAATGCATTTTGTATATATCTACTGTGGACAAGATTAAGTTTGGTTCTTTCCTGATTTGTACTCTTTCTCGAACATGTGTAGTAATGAATGCCTTTGTATTTTAGTAGATTAAACATGGTGTGTTTTCAATTGTTGGATTTTGTTTTCTTTTTCTTATATGGGTAAACTGTATTGTAAGGTTGATCATGAGCCAAGTGTTACTGAAGATGCATTTGTGTGGCTATCTACACTTGTACCCGTGATAGCAGATGTTGTTACTGCACGGTTTACTTTCGAGACTCTTACAGCTCCTTCTGGGTGTAAACTCCACTATCCTGCCTACAATTTGTTCTTGAAACAGATTGACAAGTAAGTAAGAATGAGACTGTTTGGTAACAATAAAATAGGCTGAATTTGCTGAAGTTGTTGAAATGACTGAATTGGTTGTATGAAAAAATTATATTTGAAATATACTTTGATTATTATACTTTGTACAATTTAGTGTGCGGAACAGAAAGCTTGGGAGTTTGAATTGGTAAAAATGTGGCTCATAAGCCAAAAAATGGGTTACCAAACGGGCACCATATAAGAACTAAAGTTCATATCAGTCTAAATTAAAGGTTAGTACCTTTTCTTTCATGACTAAAGCCCTGTTCCTTTTGATTTTGGTAAGGTGCACAAGGCATTTGCAGAAGCAAGCAAAACCAACTGGGGTAGAACTGGAGGATAATGAGTTTATACTGCACGTCGAAGGAACTGCAACAACGCAGAGAGTAGTGCGCCATATTGGTGGAACAAGTTGGCCTGGTATGTCTTTGATCTTCTTTTATGGTGTGCTTGTCACTATGTCAGGCATTTTCAAGGCCTTGTATGTGTTTACACAAGACTATGCATTTTATAGGTAGGTTGACATTAACAAACTATGCTCTCTACTTTGAGGCATCTGGAGTCCTGTCTTACGAAGATGCTCTTAGAATTGACCTTTCAAAGGACATTGAGCAGAGCATAGTCCCAGCTTCAACAGGTCCATGGGGTGCTCCTCTTTTTGACAAGGCCATAGTTTACAAATCATCCGAACTGTAAGTTTTTTTCACCAATGTACTGCGATCTTAGGTTGATGCTTTGCTTAAGTTTCCAGCTTCTCTCACAAAAGTTCCTCTTGGAAAGAGAGCAAAATAGGGGAAGTTTAATAGGATAAAAACTTCATTTTGGCAAGAGGTCGTCTGACATAGAAGATTAGAAGCCTGGTTTTCATTTATTCAAGCATATCATCCTCCAAATGTGGACTGTTGGTATGTGATGAGCAAAAGTTCGCCATATTCTCTTATGTGAGCAGTGAGATTGTTAAGTACTGCTGTACAGGATAAACAAATTGATAAATACAAAAACCCCACTTTCATGATTTTATACTCCACTCTTCACATAGTCTCATTAAGTTTGAGACAAGGGATTTGGTTATTGAATTTATTAAAGGGTAATTGTGAGCCATTGAATATGTCCAAAAAGGAATGGGGCAAATTTTTTAGAGCAGACACAGTGGGATTGAGGGAGTGCTAATAACCTATGTACTTTTTTTGTCCATTTTACCCCTTCTTCTTAAGGAATTCTAAGGTAGGTTCACACTATTTTTTTTCTTTTAAATAAATCTCAAAAACCTTATTAAACTCAGTGTTTAGTCAAATTGGGCAATTATTTAGCAACATTCAGTCAAAAAGAGGCCAATAGCTACCGCTGGTAGCAGCTCTACTGTCTGCTATGGTGGTGGCAGCAGAGTCTTTCAGACTGTCAGTTACCCCAGTTAAGCGCCACTCTTGCGAGACCGTGGAAGTATCACTAGCCGTATTGTTACTTTGCAACTTCCAGCACAACTATAGTCATTGTCTTTATTCACAAATTTTATTCTTAAATGTCCAATTTTAAATTTAGTGGAGCTAACTACACCATAGTACTTTATGAGGTAGTTGCTTAAGAACTACAGCTTCCTTTGTTTTTGTTTATTAGTACTATAATTGTTATAGTAAATCTATTAGTCACATCATTATTATTTTGGAAAATTAAGACCTTGTATTTGGCAAACATTTAGGCAAGAAGGTGTTGTCCTAGAGTTTCCAGAAATGACAAGTTCCACAAGACGTGATCACTGGCTCGCACTCGTCAAGGAGATAATGCTGTTTCATAAGTTCTTGCTAAATTACGAGGTCAGGACATCGGTGGAATCATGGGAAATGCATGCTAGAACAATGCTTGGAATTATAAGACTTCATGCTGTTAGAGAAATGCTTAGGATCTGCCCCCCTGTTCCCAAAAGCTTCTTAATCTTTACCTTGCTTGATGAGTTGCCTAAAGGGGACTATGTGCTGGAAGAGCTTGCCCGGAGTTTGAAGAAGGCCAACATTGACCATCCATGTAGTGCAAGCTCAATCTTTAAGTGTATTAATGTCTCCCAACTGTCAACATCCCTTCCGGAGAGAGCGGTGAAGGAAGTGAATGTTAAAGGAAACAACCCCTTGGCTCAATCTGAAGATGTGTCATCACTAGAGAGCGCCATCGACCAGGCAAGAGAGGAAGAAAAAGAAATAATTGTTGCTAAAGCTACAGTTGAGGAAGTGAGAGAAGAAGGAATTGCCAACAATGTTCAGGCTTTTTTGGTAAGGCTTTATTGGAAATTCAATGTTATACATGTGAAATATCCCAGGTAAGATGCATAAACAGATTTTAATTATCAATATTGATCATTTCAGAACCCCAGTTATATTCTCCAAAGAAAATGTGTAATGATTTGATATACCGTGCTTGTGAGGTCATCATGATTTCTAGTTGAAACGCTAAATAATTATCCTTGAATACACATATAATTCAGGCTGTCAAGTTGGATGAATGTAGTCCAGTTGAGACAATTGAATATATTTAGGATACTCATCTGCCTCATTTAATATTTGGGGGGTACTAAAATACATCAATACTCACTGTTTATGCCCTTTTTACACGGGAAATATTATATACGATGCATGTCGTTGATAATGCTAGCGAAAAGGTAGGAACACATAAATCTCAATTGTGTATTAAAAAAGTCCATCTTGTGACCATAACATTCTCTCTTAATATTTTCTCAGCTATGACAAACTTTTATTTGTTATTGCTTGCAGTGTCTGGTTAAACCATTGGGAGCCATGATGTCTCGTTTCCAAGATATTTTTACATGGGAAAGGCCACTAACCACTTTCATCGTTCTTGTGATAACCCTTCTAGTTATTTACAAGTTAGTCCTTTTAAAATTTCTCTAATCACCCCCTCCATCTCCTCATTTATATTACTTGTAGAGTGAATTCAAGTGTGAAATTCAGAAATTTGGGCATTGACTATTTATTATTGATGAAGAATTAATCAACTTTGGTTGGTAAATGCATGTAGGGAGTGGGTTGGCAAGGCCATTGCAGCATTTCTACTGTGTGTGGTTACTACAATGCTGAGGGCCAGACAGCTTGGGCTAGCTAATAAACACAACAAGATTCTTATTTACATTGGAACCGATAAATCTGCGGTGGAGAACATAGTGTCAGCACAACAGGGTTTAAAAACTGCAGGTGACATTATTCAACAAATGAATGTCATTTTGCTCAAAGTTTGGTCACTGTTTGCTTCTAAAGCTCCAAAGGTAACCTACATCAACTTCAGATTTTAGCTTGATAGTTTCCCCTTCGTACAAACCAGCCGAAGTCTAATCAGGTTTACACAGTCAGCTTAAATTTTTTGAAGTCATCCAAACTGTGTCAAATATGAAGGACACAAACTAACAATTAAAGTTAAAGCCTTTGGTCGTTATCAACCGTATGACTTAATGTGGTGCCAGTGCCTACTAAGTTCAAACCGAGCAAAACAAGCAATTTGATCATGGCATTTTACATTTAAGATTGAGGTGTTCTAATGAGCCAATCTTGCGGGTATAGTAGATCATGAACCAAATACAAAGACATAAATGAACATATAAAGCTTTGAGCGTGTTGTTGTAGTGTTAAGTCCCTGATTCTAATAGACGGTCTCATAGCTTTATGTGCATTCTAATGCGGATTTGATTATGAACGCCTTATTGCAGCAATCAAACACGGTGGTGGCAGTTATGATTGGGGTGGCAGTAGTGCTAGCATTGGTACCATTCAAGTATATCCTAATGGGACTTGTACTGTCTGGCTTCATATCATCCTCAAAGATGATGGGAAAAGGAAAGCCAAAGGACGGGGGAAACAGGCGGCTCAAGGAGTGGTGGGATTCCATACCGGTTGCACCTGTCGAGGTCATCGATGAGAAGGCTGCTGATGATAGCGTAGTGGTGCTTTGATGACAGTGGTTTGTTACTTTGTTCATAAGCATACTAGTTGTATAGTGCTCTTTATCTAATGTAGTTCTCATCACCAATGTTGTTGTTTCCTACGCATACATTCGAAATTTATGGTCGTTTTAGAGTTAAGTTCTTTTGTACGTTGATCAAGGAAAGGAGCACTGTAATCTAACTCAAACAAGGCAAGGTAAAGATAAACTAATAAAAGTGGTATTACTTGGAACCTGAGTTATGAGTACGCCTGTTGCATTTGAACTTGAAGATGAACAATTCGTGGAAATGACTAGTTCTATTTTTAAGGATGTTACTTGTTTCCATTGGAACACGGAACTTGGGATTTTTCATTCTAATACATACTCCTTAAATAAGTCATCTTTCCTAAAATGATATTTTAGGAAGTCATCGATAAAAATGACTTCCCTCTGAAACGGAAAAGGTTCCCACCGGAACTCTCTACTTAAATAAATCTACTTAATTGGGATCGCCCAAATTGACATCTTCATCAATGGATTCAAGCAATGTTTGAAAAGATTTCATGATTAACTTTTCATCTTGTTCATGTATTTATACTAATAAGGCTGTATCATGTAGTATATGAGAAAATGATTCAATGTGCAATGGATGGATATACCAAGTGGAGAAGAGACTATAAATGACACACCAAATGGAGAAGAACATCCAATGTGTTACAAATAGATACACTGAGTTAAGAAGAGAATCCAATGTGTTAAATGTGTTACAAATAGACACACTGAGTTAAGAAGAGAATCCAATGTGTAATGAATAGACACATCAAGTGGAGAAGCGAATCCAATGTTCAAGAATAGATACATCAAATTACAAATATGATTTGAATGATAACACAAAGTAGGTCCATATTTTTATTGCAAGTGGAGAAAAAATCAATGCAAAATTCTCAAAAAAAAATCAATGCAAAATGAAAGAATACAACATCCATTTGAGTACTGTCATTACTATTTACTAGTTGAAATGGAGTATACATTTGATGAGAATTGTCATACGGAGCATAATGTTCGCACATAATTTTATTGATGTTCCGAAGAGATTTAGATTATAATCGAACTTTCCATGAAACTGTTTATTTTTATTTATTGAAAATATTCGAAAAGAAATTAATTAAATAAAAGAAATTAATTAAATAAATTTTAATTTTTTAACATTGAAATGTGAATTTTAAATTTTTGAATAATCATATCCAAAAAAATAGAATTATTTAGAATAATATCAAACAACAACATTCTGTATAAATCTGATATGTATGCAAATATGCAAAAGTGAATTTTATTGAACTTGGATAATTTAAAATTATCTGTCGTGTAGGTGTAGACATAATCTAGCTCTTTGAATTGTTTGAAAAGGTGGAATCTCCAGCTCTAGGAGCCCCACATCCCGATTCTACAGTATGATGAACAGTAGATTGGTAACTCAGTCGGTCCAAATAGATAAATGGGGGTGGGTGCCTAGACTTTGCATCAAATTCCACTGTCCTCGTTTTCTCCGACATCGGTCGCCAAACAGCCCGAACTGAATCCGTGAAGCAATGTCTCGATCCTTGATCTCTCATTCTATGCACGTTGCATCACCAGTCCCACGTAAGAAACCCGATTTTCCCATCTTTCACCGCCCATCCGCCCGCTTCACGGCCAGTCTTTGTCCGCAGCTCCGGCTACCGATGTTCCTTCGATCAGCTGCCACCCCTGCTAGAAGCTGCGCTGCCCTTGCATTTGACTTTAAAGGTGGCCAAGGGTACTATTTCCCAAAATTTGTTATTTTGGGAGAATCAAGAACTATTCTCTAAATTCTTCTCTTTAAATATTTGGTTATCGGATACCTGTTTCATTCTGGTGATGAATTCACAATTATGCAAGAACTGATTATGTAGAATATTGAATTCGGGAACTTCATCTTCGATTTTTATCTAGGGAGAGTAATTCACTAGAATATAATTTAGGGCTCTGTTTGGAAAAGAGAAATGCTCAAATGCCAGGGAAAGAAAATGGAGACGAAATATAGTACTTCTTACTTTTTTAGGAGGCAAGAAAATGTTGAAGAAAAAAAAGATTTGTTCAATATCAATAAATTTATTTTTAATGTATGTTCGAATTCATTTTTATTAATTTACTTGTAAATTCCTAGCAATTTAAGCATCTAATGTTTTCAAAATCATTGATCTTATTTCATTTTCCTTTCCATTTTCCAAGATAAATTCAAACATTTGGAAGTAACTTAAAACTATTTCATTTCTGTAGCATTGTCCGGGATACATAGTGTAGAGAAAGATCTTCTTGGAGAAAATAAGCTAACCATTTCGGTCATATGTTGTACTTCAATTCCAAACCATGCATGATATGTTATTTCAAGGGAAAGCATGCACTTTCCTACACTACTAAACGTGTTAGGGAATTTATTTATTTTTCCAACATTGAAGCCACCATTTTCTTTCATAATGTGGATGTTGGCTTGTTAGTTATATGATTGGTTACTGTTAAAGTATTTTTTTAAAAAATGAGGATGAGATTTCAACTTTCCTCTACTTAAAAATCTGCATTGCGGCTTTATTTAGCAGAATGGTTGGATTACATGAAGTTGAACTTAAAGTGCGGGACTATGAATTGGATCAATATGGTGTGGTAAACAATGCTGTATATGCAAGTTATTGCCAACATGGTGAGATTATTCTGCTAAACCATTTACATTAAGCGTCATATGACACATACGACTTTTCTTGTCATTTCTCCTATACTCATCTATGCTCCATCACTCTATGTAGTTAGCTTGGCATGTGATGCCATGATGGTACCTTTGATGACTACTCCTAAGTCATAACTATTCACTGGAATGTCATATTTCATGATTGGTAGTACCTTTTGACAAGTTTTACTCTTAGTTTTATGCTGCATCAGATATATAAATCTGAGTGACTGTACAGCTTTGTATCATCAGCGAACAAGTTCTTGGGGTTCTGGAAAGTTTGCTGTTATAGAAGTGAAAAGTTAAATTTATGATTTGTGAACCTAATTTCTTTCTGATGGTATCTTCTAGTCAGCCCTGCTGCTTGCACACACTTATTTGTACACACCCAATACACACGCTTGTGAACAAGCTATTTTGTGAATAGCCTTTTGACAGGCATGTGTATGGGGTTTGTACAAATAAGTGTCTATAAAGAGTTCTTTTCTAGTAGACGTTGTTGATTTATGAAATGTTTCTTTTTAAGTTCTCTTTCACTAATTTTCTCATGATTCTATATTATTGGAGTAAAGCTAAATAGAATTTGGTTTATCATAATCCATGGAACTCGTTTTTTGATTGTTATTTACACAGCTCGGCATGAACTTCTGGAAAGAATAGGTGTAAATGCTGATGCAGTTGCACGCTCTGGTGATGCATTAGCACTTTCAGAGCTTTCACTTAAGTTTCTTGCACCTGTAAGGGTTTGTGCCTTTTCATATCTTGGACATTATGTTTCATTCCATGCCTAAAGTTTCTTAAATCCTCCGGGCATACAGAAATGATCAGTTCAGAACTACCTGATTAAAAGAGTAAGAATTTTTATTGTGGATTGTCATCATGACGAGTGTTAACCGGTATTTCAATCTGAAAGTAATGATCAAAATATAGACTGGAAAAAATCTTGAACTGAGCAATCACACACACATACACACTTAACCCTGTTATCTTAAACAGACCTTGACAATTTCATCTCCACCTTTCACTTTTGGCTTAAATATGGTTTTTTGCCCCCAAATATTCTGTTTTTTCGTTTTACGTCCTGCAAGTTTTTATTTTACTTTTCATCCTTGTAATTTATGTTGCTATGCTTTTTAGTCTCTCACTGATCCTAACCACCCCGTGAGTCAATAAAAATGAACGATTATTGCATTTTCTATCTTTATCATGTCACTTCAAGAATATGTAAATTTATATTCTAGAGAGCCATTCAAAGCTATTTTAAAAACGTGAATTATTATTTCATGTCGTTTTAACTGCAACATTAGTCTCCAAGAAGTACTAAAACGAGAAAGTTAAAAGTTTAGAGTTATGTAACCGACCAAATTAAGATTGGCGTGGAATTAGATAGGGCCTAAAAAGAAAATAGTGTGGATTACAGGGATGAGAAATATGCAGGGATTTGAAACAATAGTGTGCCAAATTTGCAAGGACTAAAAAATATTATAATCTTCCTTTTTACCACCAATGACTAAAGTTCATAAGGTGGTATTTTTGTAATTCTTTAAAATAATTGAATAAATGACCCTATTTGAATGTAGAATAATAAAAAACCGTCACATTGACAGTTAATGAGCGTTTAGCCATTCATTGGAAAAATAAAAGTCAGAGATAAAATGTTGTTATTATAAAATTATAAAATGTGCTTATGACAAGAAAGGTGGTATCAAAACCTTCCGCATGTGTGAGTGTGTGTGTATGTATATGGTTGAAGCCACACAATTGATTGTATGTCATTGGTTTTTACCTCTTCTAATCAGAGTGGAGACCGGTTTGTTGTGAAGGTGAAGATATATGACTCATCAGCTGCTCGTTTGTTTTTTGAGCATTTCATCTTTAAGCTCCCAAATGAAGAGGTTAGTTTCTACTGACTTGTCGTAGAAGCAGAAACTATTAAGATCATCATCATCATTACCCCAGTGCCACAAAGGCTCCCATCTTCGGTAGGGCAAGCGGGGGTCGGATGCACGCAGTCTTACCCTTGTACTAAAGTACAAAGAGACTGTTTCCGGATGACCCATAGTGAAAATTGCACCGGGAATTGCATGGACTAATTGCTGCTTCATAATAAAGAAGCGCAGACAGTTTAGTGAGCCATTTTGCTTTGTTCCATCATATTCCCAAGCCAAATAATAATGAGTCTTTGGCTCCATTGCAAATGATGGAAGTGCAGAAACTATTAAGATATTGAAACTTTTTCTTATGTTGCTTTTGTAGCCAATTCTAGAGGCTAGAGGTGTAGCAGTATGGCTCAACAAAAGTTATCGCCCGGTACGCTTACCTGCGGAGGTTAGAGCCAAATTTGTTCGGTTCCTTCGTGAGGAAGAATAAGACTAACACTTGCAGTAAAGGGGCTCTTCTAGTTCTACCAGAGATTTATGTAATCTTGTGGTGTATGTAAGCTTGTAATTTTAGGTAGGAAGCCTATACTTCAACCTTCATTCTTCTAAATGTGTGTATTAAAAAAAG